TCGGCAAATGTAAGACCTTGCAGGAAAACAGGGTTACATTCCTGGGTCCCAAATGATCACCCCCTCCCTCTTTATTGAAATAACTAGTTCATAAATCCTGTCTTCACCAGGCAAAAGTTTTGAAGAACCTGATATGATTTGTTCTTTTTTTATCTATGATCAGACACTAACTACTCCAAAAATGTGTTTTTTGTACGCAAAAAATCTGATATAATTGACTTGATTTAACTTCTTATTTAAAGACTTACCCATCGGAAACCGCTCGATTTATAGATTCTGTTTTTTTATTAGAACAAAAAATAATTTCTGTAATACTCTCAGGGGAAGCTCCTATCTTTTACCGTTTTGGAATTCAGATTTGAAAATCATAAAATGTGTATTTTTTTGTTCACTTGAAATCAAAATATCTAAAAAAATATAAACAAATAACCAATGGTTCTCGATTTATTTTTACTTGCTGTTTAACGCTCTATCAAACGAAAAAAAATCCAGCAATTTTATATTTTTAACGGTTTCTGAATGACACTCACAAACATGTTCATGCGGCACTCAAAACATCCAAGAATGGTAACTTGCCATCCTTTTCCACCTCCATGGTGAAATTAATGGCTGGGTGTATGGAATTGATGTGGTTGAAGAATTGGCCCAGCGCTGGCAGGCCAGGTGGCCAGATGACGAACATGTCATCTACGTATCTCTTCCACAAGGAAGTATGTAGGGGTGGATACCTGGATGGCATCTGTCTCAAATTTTGCAATGAAAACATTGGCTACAACTGGAGATAAGGGAGAACCCATTGGGGTGCCTTCAACTTGTTTGTAGAATGTTCCATTCCAGGTGAAGTAAGTGTTGGTGAGGCAGTGTCTAACCAGGGCCGGTACATCAGCATTCAGTCCTTGTTGGACCAAATCTTCAATGATTACAATGGTGTCTGGCACAGGAACTTTGGTAAACAAAGATACTACATCGAAACTGGTAAGCAAATCACCTGGAGATAGTGAGATGTCCTTAATTAGAGATACCAAGTGAGCTGAGTTAAGAACAGCTGAGGTGGTCTTACCAGTGAATGGCTGTAAGGTCTCAGCCAGGAATTGGGCCAGTTTGTCGGTGGGTGAGTCAATGGTGGAGACGATAGGACGGAGTGGTGTACCTTCTTTATGGATTTTTGGTAAGCCATAAAATCTGGGTGGTCTAGCAGCAGAGGGTTTTAGAGAGAGCCGCTTGTTTGGTTCGATTAAAGATGTCGAATCAGTGATGAAATTGTTGGTTTTCGTACCTAGGCGGTTGGTAGGATCGCTATTGATTTTGTTATAGCTGCCATAATTAAGTAGGTCCTGAATTTTGTTATTGTATGTGGTTTTGTCCATGATGACAGTGGCATTGCCCTTGTCAGCTGAGAGGATGACTATGTCATCTCTCTTTTTTAGTTGAGAAAGCTCAAAGCGCTCATCCTTGCTGATGTTGCTAATAGGTGTCTTAGTCTTTTTGAGGATTGCAGCGATTTCCGAACTTGCCACGTCTGCGGGAATGTGTCCCAAACCCTTAAGGGCTACGTCGACCTGGGCAATGATATCATAAACTGATATGTGTTTAGGGGTGACTGCGAAATTCAACCCTTGAGCTAGAACCGATTTAAGGCAGCAGATGTCAGTGTAAAGGCGATCGGTATTACCTTAGTGTCGTGGCATCTGTTCAGAAAAGTGAGCGACTCGATCAGATGAGCCTTCTTGTCTCGAAGTCTGTTAAAAGATCAAATAGTTGTGTGGAAACCCTCCCCATAGAGGCGGTTAAATCTTGACTTAAAGCTTTCGTGACTGCAGGAATGCATATTCTTTGGGTCTTTCGGGAAAGCCACATAGATAGAAAAAATATAAAATTAGAAAAATATCACGCCGTTTTGTAACAGGCTAAATGTCTCACTAATACAGCCACCGTTGCGTTGGTTCTCTTACATTGACATGCTAATCTTTCACAATGTCAGTGTTTCACAGGGTTCGATTCTGGGTCCCTTACTGTTCTCTATATTTTGACTCTTGAGTATTTGTATCTCCTCTTTCTGCTTCTCCTTTCCCTCTTTCACTCTTGGCCTTTCCTCTCGTATCTCCTCCTGACTCACTGCCATCCAATCCTGGATGGTGCTTCACTCTATGAATTCTTCCAATTTATCAGTCATTTTCTTTCTGGCCTCACGCTGTCCTCCTACCGTTTCCACCATTTCCTTCCCTCCTTTCTCTCTCACTCCTGTTTCCTTTGCCCTCAACTGTGTCACCTTTGACTCTTCCCTCACTTTTTCCACCCACATCTCTGGTACTACTATTCGCATCTGTCGCTTTCATTTATTCAACATTGGGAAAATCTGACCTCTCATTTCAATTTGTGCCGCCAAACTCCTGGTTCATGCTATAATTTTTATCCGTCTCGACTAATCGAATTGTCTTCTTGGTCTTCCTGTATCTGCTCTCACTCTCCTCCAACAAATAGAAAATGCTCTGCAAGGGTTATTTTCAATTTCCCCATTAATTGTCACAGTTCTCCTCTCCTCCTTCAACTCCACTACAGCTGTGTTTAATCTTGCCATGGCCTTGACCTACCTTATCTTGCCTTGCCTTATCTTGCCTCTATCATCTCCTTCTGTCCCCTCTCTTCATTACCAATCTTTTCTGTCTCTCTGTCCCTCCTTGTCCTTAGGCCCAATCCTGTTTTCAGTCGATCTCCCTCCTGGAATAAACTTCCCCTGCACATTAAGCAGTCACCCTTCTTAACCTCATTCCGTTCCTCCCCTACTCTTTCGTGATCCCTAAGTACCCTCGATCGCAGTCACTCATTCCTAAATATTTGCATTGCAACCTTCCAATTAAGGAATTTTCTTCTGTCACCTTTGTTTTACTATTTCAAGCACCTTGAATAAAGGTGTTAAAAATATTAGATTATTCATTAGCATGTGTTTTAAACAAGCACTCTTTAACCTTTTGGGTCTCCTAAGCAGTTGGAATTGCAAATCAAATACGGCTGGGTTGCCATATTTTTTTGGCAAGACTACTGCATTTACACAATGGGGGCCTGTCTAACACTAATATCATTGGTTGAAAAGAAACAAATGTTCAACAATACATTAACAGGCTTTTATTTATGAGCAGCAACTCAAACTTCTCGTTGCTCAAGCCCTGACCATAGCTATCCCTTAAGTGCATTAAACGGAAGCCACTGAGTAAGACGTCCGTGCTGCAAGGTGGAGGGGGAGTAATTTCCATATTGTGTAGTCGTGACCTGTGTTTGGAAAGCTGTGTGCGGAGCGGCATGGTAGTGATGGGAAAAATACGACACTGACAAAGCTTTCTTCGACTCACTTACTTCGTGAAATTAAAAGACGTTACAATAGCACCCACGCCAAGCACAAAGCTGATTACAAGAGAAGTTATGCACGTGTGGTTTTTATGTTTCACATGGGAATGCACTGTGCTATGTTGTACACACTACGCATATGAGTCAGTATGGATATCACCAATTGGCAGAAATAAAACTAACCCCTGTCAGTACCTCACCAATGAACAATGTGAACATTTCATGACATGAACATTAATGTCACATATTAATGTAAAATACACGCTATGTATCTTTTCTCAACATTTTCTCTGCTGAACTAGGTCTTGCAAACTACCTTGAATATTCTTCAGTGCATTCTTTCATGCAGGATAGGCTACTTTTATAGTAATCTAGGTAATTTGTTATTACAATGGGTTTTTGTATGATGTTAAAACATTAAACGGATCTTGTGCACAGTTATTTGTGAAAAGCAAAGCTGTATTAAGTAACCAATCACAGGTTTCAGCAGCGGTAATGCCTCTGGTGTTTCCTGCTTCAACCTGAGGTGGAAAGTCTCGCAGAAATAAAATCTTCTAAAACATTCATCCTGAATAACATTTGTAAGGCACACACTACTGGCTTGCAGTCTTTTACACTTGAGAATCTTCCGTAACATTGGCAACCAACACAAAAAGTGACATTGCAAAATGGAAAATTACAAATGTGTGTCCGTGCCAATAGTGTGGTGAGGTTGCGCATGCTGCTCCTTTTGGACACAACTACACTGTGCCTATGATGTAATGATCTCACACAACATGAGTTCATGCTATCCTTGACTATGTATCATACTGGATACAACATAAGAAAATCCTTTCTTGCTGGATTCCTGTCTGTCTGACATATGGGCAAGTGTACTTGCAGGTTGGTGACATCGCTGCGCATATTTGCGTGATGTCACCAATATCCCACAGCGTTGATCCATGATCACGCATGGAGCTGACGTCACACCTCCCCCATTCCCACCCTCCGTCCTGGTCGTGGAGCCTGTGCAAATGTGAGAGGAGAGAGATAGGTGAGGAAATTAAATAAGAGGAGAGAGACAGGAGGGAGGGAGACAGGAGGGAGGTGAGGGAGATAGGTGAGGGAGGGAGATAAGAGGATGGCGGAAGAGACAGAACGAAGAGGAGAGAGGCAGGGAGAAAGTGAAAGGACATGGAATTGAGAGGAAAGGGAGAGCAAAATGGAAAGAGGGGTGAAGGAAAGTCACAAGCAGTGGGAGAGAGGATAAGGGAAAGGCAAGAGAGATTGAAACGGGAAAGGGAGAAGTGGGAATAAGCAGAGCGAAGATGAGAGAGAAATGCAGAGAGATGGGGGGGGGTGGAAGTGGATAAGATAGTGGAGGGAGGAGAGGAATATCAGAGGGAGAGATAGAAGAGGGAACTGGAATAGAGACTGAGAAATCGAGATAAATTGGGATGCACAATACAGAGAAGACAGAAAAAGTTGGTGACAGGGCTCTGTATAAGATTAAAACATTGGCTGGCTGGCTGGCAGGGAGGGCTGGACGGTCACATCCAAAGGACGTGCGAGTTGCTAGTATATGTGATTGTATTTGTGTTAAGTAAACAAATGGACATTTTGAAATGGAAATGTACTTTTTCCCCACCCAGCCATTAATATGAGGTGCTGCCCTGCAGGTGTATCTGATCGGCAGTGAGGCCATGGCGAGTGCACTTGAGGAGGCAGGGATCCCTTTTGTTGGGGGCCCGGGCCCTGAAGTCGACCTGGGCTGGCCGCCAGAGAAGCCGGAACTGGACCCGGATGTGCGGGCGGTGCTGCTGGGCTTTGATCGACATTTCAGCTACGCCAAGATGGTGCGGGCAGTGGCGTACCTCCGCGATCCTGCCTGTGCCTTCGTCGCTACCAACACTGACACCTGTCTGCCGCTGGAGGGGGACAGGGTTATTCCAGGTGAGCTGATGGACTCCATTTTATTTGCCTATATTACTGTTGAGCCACTGCAAATTCAGTCTTGGTGTCTTTCTGCATTTTAATACCTGCTGCAGGAGTCCATTGTCAGCATCGTGTCGAAACGAGTGGAGCTCGTCTCCTCTCAAGGCAGCGCGAAGCCAGTGGTGGAAATTCTACATTCCCGTGTAGGTTGTCAACTCTACAGATCTCTTTGTCCATGGTGATATGGGAGACCAATAGCATGAATCCTGTTATCCACGGAACTATCCGCGATTTTACTCTCATCCACATGTTAACATAACTGGCGGATTACCCGCGAATAGGATATATTTGCTGTATGACTACTCTTATCCAGGGAAAAATTGCGGATAAAAGGATGCTGTTCTGCAAAAACGTACCCCAAAAGTAAAGGAAATTGCGAATAGGAATATGGCCAATGCTAAAAGGAGTTTGTGACCATTCAACTTCGCCACAGCGCCTCTAAAGCAATTTCCTTCACCTGCCATGAGATCTTTATTCCTAAAACTTACATAGAAAGTTTAAACTTGAAAGGACAGACACATTGGACTTAGGGTAGTCTTGGAGGGAATAAAAAAATAACTGGTTGTCTTGATCTATAGTACCACACATTAATTCACAACCTGTTTTACATTGTGACGATGTTTGTTGTTCATATGAATCGATTGGCGGTAGCCCGGGTCACCGCAAAATACTGGTGGGCCGGGCATAGTTAAAGTTTTTTTTCTGGGAGCATCGCTGGTACTACCCTGTCCTCTCGGAGGGCGACGCTGGGAGCGATGATGACGACGATGTCGATCACGCCAGCACGACCATGACCGCCGGCCGTACCAAGAGAGCGCCTGGTGCGCCATTGCCTCCAAGTGGTCTCGCTCCCAAAGACAAGGGGGGTGGCCGCCCCCGTAAGAAGCAGAACGTGCTGGGGAATGACCAGACCGGCATCCTGATGTACTTTCAAAACAAGCAATAAACAGCCGTTGCCACGCACAAATCCCCAGCAGCCCCCCTTTTTTACGGGTGTTTTGCGTTTGTTTTTATTTCCATATTTGGCGTGCGTATCGGGCTCAGTGACATCTCCCGTCTTCATAGGCCTTCTGGTTTCGAAGTTATGGAGGTTTTGGCACCCCCAGGTCACGATAGAGACCCGGGTCACCGCCAATCAATTCATATGTACAGTACAGCTGCCAATTATTTGTGACATTGTTGCCCACATCTGCTATTATCCATGGGACCAAAATGGTCTGAGGAAAATGTTTTGTTCATATTTAAAGAGATGGTTGATACTTCAATGGCGTTAGTGTAATTGGAGTGGTGCAGTGTCGTTGGGGAATGGCATTGAGAGGTCACTGGCTATTTATACATGTTGAGTGATTTGATATGTTTCCCTGCCTGCATCGCTGCATGCAGTAACTTTACCGAATCAGCTGAAAGCTGTAAAGTTATTTTTCAACAGGTTTGTACTTGAAAACGTATAATGCTCATATCTGCAGTTGCACCAAGGTTTTTAGTTTGCAAATATTTGCACGCTAAATGTACTTTGATCTTAGCAAGTAATTGGTGATCAACTATGTAGATACATTTACATATTCTGCATTAACTTACATTTCCATAAGCAAGTAGTGTAACTTGCCAAAATCTGACATGTTCAATTGCCCATAAATAATTGTGTTTTGGACAGAACTGAAATTTCAATTAAATGCATGCACACCGACTGTTTAATTATATGCTCCTACAGAGAACGAGTCTTGTCTGTGATGTTGTTGAAAAACTAAAGTTGGATTATGTGGTAGAAGGTTCATTCTTGTGTTTGTGATGTTGTTTCATCCTCGCCTGAGGAATGATGGGATGATCAAACATTAAACACGATTGTTAATAAAGCCATACATTTGTAAAATTCTAGCCTGACACCATAAATTACACGACTTCCTGGTTTGCATATCCCTCACATTTTTACCTTCATTTTATTGCTGTGAAATACGTCATACCTTACGAAAGAACATCTTTGTATTTTTGTGCAAAAAATGTCAGATGTGGTGCATGTTGCTGGTGTAGATGCTGTTAGCAATTAGCATGTTACGATGCATACATTCTAAAGCTGAATTCACTTCTCTTGCTAAATACATGCATTGAATTGTGCGTTGGAGAATTGATTGTTTTCGGTCCTTATATTTCTAATGTTATGGGTTCACGTGACTGCTGCAGTGGAATCGTGTTGATGAGTGGTGAATCGCATCATGCCTGATAACTGGGCTGTTGGCTTGATGAGTGTCGTCCGCGCCTGTGTGCCGTGCAGGCACAGGAAGCCTCCTCGCTGCCCTGGAGTGTGCGTCGCAGCGCAAGGCGGCCATCGTGGGCAAGCCCAGCGAGTTCATGTTTGAGTGTGTGCTGCGTGCCGAGAAGGTAGCACGCGAGCGCTGCTTAATGGTCGGTGACCGCCTCGACACGGATATCCTCATGGGCACACAATGCGGCCTGCCCACGCTGCTGGTGCTCACGGGTGTCTCTACGCTGGCCGAGGCGCAGGCCTGTCGCGACAGCTCCGACCACGAGCGCCACCAGCTGGCGCCCACTTACGTCATCGACTCCATCGCTGACCTGCTGCCTGCGATCGACGAGCTCTGATCAACGTGTCTTATTTCACCTTGATTGCTTAGCAATAGCTATTACAATTGTTTTTGCAAATTGTGATTCAATGCCGAATGGTGTCTCTTTATGGCTTGTTCGTACTCCATAATTAGCATTATTTTGGAATTTTGCTATTTATAGTCCTTGCAACTATATCATCTTTATCCTTTACATCAAATGTTCTGATTACAGTATAGTTATCGGTGACTCATCTGGTGATTATGTAATTATCTGTCATAGCAGCTTGTTGCTCATTAGAATTTTGATAGTTACCAACATGTGAAATCATCACTGCATAAAACCATGTTGGTTCTGTGTGCCCTGATACCATCACTATTTAAAAGCACTCAGAATAGAGGCATGTCTCTTTCAAGCGTTCTTTATACGAGAATTTGCTATAATGAGCAATTTAAATTTAGACCCATTTGTTCGCAATAACGAGCCAATTATTCGCTTATCGAGTGGAGACTAAATATGCATCCCGTGGCGGCAGGGGGTGCACGGTTGCCGCAGTTTGTTTACGAGCTCTCCTGTGCTTGCCTGCGTGTTTAGTTGTGTGGGCACTGTAATGGGTGGGGTGGTGTAATGGTTAGCGTGCGGCATGACGAACCCGGTGAACCGAGTTCAATTCCTGCTGAAGGCCAACACCAGTGACGATTATCTGATCTGGTCCTGGGCCTCCCCTAGGTCGACACAGCCAGAAATGTTTTTAATATTTGGCTTTTATAAATTTCCACTTGATAAACCACTTCGCTATCATTTGTAGCCACATCACTTCTGAAAAAGCAATATAGCTCAGTCGGCCTTGCCTAGTAAAATAAATAAAAAGTTTAGTTTCAAAGGAGTACCTGGTACGGTGTGGAAACATCGCCACTAGGGAGACAAAGGCGGCCGGGCGTGGAACTGGCCACCCACCCCTCGTGTGCCGTACCAGCCTTTATAGGTGCTCGCTAACAACACTTGCCCCAACCGTCTGTTAAGGCCACGCGGGGGATCTTGCACTGTGGTTATTAATGTGTAGTGTAATATTTGATTTTAATATATATTTTTAAAATTATAATTTGTATTTCTCACGTTAAAAAAAGTGTTTCAAGTGTGAAACATTTTGAGGCTAAAACTTTGCTTTTAACATGGGAGTCAATGGGAAAATGATGATCATTAAGCAATTTTCACGGAGCGTATCTCGTTAAGCGAGGCACGCCTATATTAACACATATCTTAAAGTAACAGAATGCTTTGACTTGATTTCAGAAAACAATCCAGGTATAAAGAAGTAGATCTTGACTCCAGTAAAAATGGGAATAAAATGAATGCAAATGTCACTAACTCCTATCAACTTCATAACCACTGCCTAGAGCCAACTTTTCCCGTAATTTCAGCCATGGCTGTCTGATTTACAATTAATTATTCAAAGATGATCATCCCGCTATCTGAAGGAGATTAAAAGAAAACAAATCAATGAGTTTAATTAACCACCGTGAGATGATCAGCCCATTGCACGCCAAGATCATTATTGGGTGCAATTTCCTGTGCAGCTTGGTCATGCACAAGGCGATGCACTGTGGGTGGCAGCATATACAACAGACTGCAACTTCCACATCAGCTATGAGTCGGATGAATGAACCTACTCATTCATGCGCCCATGTATTTTTTTCACTTGCATAAACCAATTAACAGTTATTTTTTTGTTTGAGTGGTTAGTGAAATATTTGGCTCTGTATTAAATTGTTTTTCAGTTTGTGATCACTGATGTCGGTTGCATTTGCAGTCATCACTAGAAATGTACTGTAGATGTGATACATGACCCCATTTAAAACACTTTCACTGCTCATGATAATCGCCTGTGATCAGCACATGATTGTATGTATCCACCCTGCGCTACGTATGATGAGAATCTGGTAAACCTACTTTGGTTCTGTGGTTTGATTTGAATATAGAAAATAGGAGAAACAATACATATTGTGAGGAGTTGCATTATGGGTAAGGCAGGCTGCCTGTGCGATTCGTCTGTGGAGGGTTCTACCGTATAAATAAACCACATGAGGTGCACGTGTTGAGGCTTGAGTAACAGCACCACTGTCTGCCCTGCTCACATTTTGTATTTCATGCTTAATTCATCATGTCATGAAGTCGTGTACAGTGTTTGATGTGAAATTTCCTGACCTATATTATGGGCTATTTTTATTAGAATTGACCAGTGCAATGCTTCACATCATTGGCAGTTTGAATATGAATAGTTAGAAAAAGATTAAAGAAATACACACTTGAATTGCTGAATAGCAGATAATATATTTGATTGTAAAGTATTTACTATTAGAAAACATTTCTATCAAAGTATGTTGTGTCACTCTTGAGACCTACAAAACTCACGAGCACGGAGATAATGTGTGGCTGAAGGTCAACAGACCGTAAAATGATTCACCCTTTGCAATTGGCCACTAAAGTTAAATCCCACGTACGTTATGTCTTGCCAGCTTTTACCGAAGCTTAAAATATCAACGTGAACACAGCCATTGTTTAACTCCACTGTTTTATTAAAAGTGGGTAGTGTAAGCAGTTGTTTGCGATCATTTCATGAAATAGTTTTTGTGGTCTGGTTGCTTTTGTTGGCTAATGCAGTACTTACAGGAATGTAGTCGAGATGGAGATGTTTTCCAGACTGCTTACAATTGTAACTGCCTGGTAACCCCAGCTTATTATAAAGGAAAGGTTTAGAATTTGGAAAATAGTTTTCAGCAAGTGCGATACTGTTAAAATGACCCTGCTATGGATATTCAATGTGGAACTTCTTTGGCACTGTACGTAGCCAACTGTGCTCATCGGAGGTGCGCGAATATAGGTAATATAAGCTCCTATATACTGTATAAGGTTTTGTAGCTTGGTAAACACTTGTTTTATAATCGATGCTGCCATCCACTGGTAGTTACTCATAGATATTCGACAGTTGGGGTGGCCACAGTGTGCCCTACCACCACTTTCCCCACCCTGCTACCCACAAACCTTCACTACTCATGAGCAAGCCATTGTGGTAGCATGATATACACAAGAACAAACACACTTTCTCTCCACCAACACCAATAGAGAGGTAAGGAAGAAAAATATCTGACCCTTAAGATGCAGAGTAGATCCTCTTCAGAATTGAGTGTAACAATCACCAGAAACCCAAGGTGAGAGCATATAACGGAACCTGTATCTTAACTGATCACTCATGAACCCCTGACCAAACTCCTAAGGATTGAGCAGGGATGGGTGGGAGAAAATTAGACTGTGGCATCGACTAGAAAAACAAGTTTCCAAGGGACCTTAATTTTTTTGTCATTTACACCGTCCACTGGTAGTTATGACTTGGCAACAGTACGAATGCCTCCGAGCCCCACCGGCTCCTGTCGTGACAGCAAAAAGCTGCCGAGATTGTTGCAACTCGACTATTGCAATTCATCCATGTCTCCCGAACATATGAAGGAATGTTTGGAAGTCTGCATGGCCACTTGCACAACGCATTAGCAATGCCGTAGCTAATGCTTTAGGATGCACTAAACGTGATACCTTTTCATTTGTAAAAGCCAAAAAGAACACACGGTATAATAGGTTTACAGTATTTTGCAGCTTCCCTCGGTTCAACCTGTACTTCTAAATAACTTTTGGAAACTTTCTAGCTAGGATGGATGTTTCTGTCTGCACCTGCTGTTGGTGTAAAAACAAAGAGTGAGGAATAATTGCGGCACTCTGTTCCATTACCGACAAGAATTGCTTATAGCTTATGCATAAATACCAGTGGACGGTAGCATCGACGACGAAAAAAACACAACCATGTATATTATATTATCTGTCAGTGTTTTCATGCAATTGAGAGATGCGATGTATTTTGTGAGACCAGGAGCATTGTCGATGTGTATTGGCAGTTTGAATGCCTTGCAGGCCATTTAAAATTGTGCGGTTTTGTTTGGGGATACCAACACACAATGGTCTACTTAGACAAGCTATGGTACCAAGGTATTTGTTATCCACTGCAATTTTAAGTGGTGTATCTCGGTTACCAACACCATGCAGAAACTACTGGTGGCAAAAATGAGGCCGTTGATGACAGTTGGCCGAAGGATGGCATCCAGACCACCAAGTGACTCACTACTATTTTTTTTTTTATATTTTGTTGTTTCTCTTCAACGTGACTTTACCGAAAAAACTAAGAATATGAATTACTGCAGTCACGAAAGCTTTAAATCAAAATTTGACTCACTACTGTTGATGAGTCGCAAGACAGTGAAGCAATTACGGATACAAACTAAATAATATTCCAAACATTTTACATAGTTGTAAATTATTTTGAAACAACGTTAACAGTTACTCTTCCCAACTCATTTAATCTAACGTGGCTATGCAAACTAAACGGAGTGTCGACAATGGCATGGAACGTATTGCATTACTTCAATTGTGTAATTTTTAGAGTAGGATCGCCCGAGTTGAATCCGTCTACTTACCCGCAGAATTAAATGTTTCTTTTTCAAGTCTTTCTGATATTAATAACTGAACCAGTTGTGACGAGGTTTAATTCCGTGTCTGTTTGATGTCGATGCACAGGCGACGCTTATGGGTTGATCTTACCGCGCGTCTGTGGAGGGATGGATTTGGAGGGCAGGAGTTGATGCTTTAATAATTAATCAAAAAACGTGCACAGCGTTAAAGGATAAATATATAATAGGCGACATCTCATCCAATAGCCCTCATTCATAGTCCTTAAATAGAGAGACCAGAGAAATCGAGTGGATAAGGATTGGAGACCGCACCTTACGAGTATTACATTTTTTTTTAATGTATGCCCAATTTTTTTGTATTGCCACATGAATAGTTACAATATAGCTATTTAGTAGAGAATGTCTTAAATAAAATAAAAACACGTTTTAACTTAATAAACGAATTTATGATGGAAGTTATTAAATATTGTTGGCACGTTAAATTTTAGGAAAATGTGTTCCTGTGAAAGCCAGTCATCCCCTTAGCAATGAATTCCTGGGTCCATTTACCATTTCAATTAAAAA